CCGCAAGGATAAAGCAGTTTCCAACGCAAGAAGGGAGTTTAAAAAAATCAAATACCGTGTGCTACTGTTACTAAAATAAGAAACGAATTCCCAATCTGAAACGTCCACCAACCTGATGTATTGTCTGTTTCATCAAATCAGCCTCTTGAGCACAGCTTTTTGAGCCATCAATATCGCCTAATGCATCGTAAAGATCGCGCATCATTAGAAAATTTCCACAAATAATTGCATTGAGATCCACGGGTATTATTTCACTCGTCCTTAAACAAGTAGCATTCACAAAAAGGGGCTACGACACAGAAATACGTGAGGAAAAGTAATCGTTACATTCACTCAAAAATCTCCTTTTTCACAGTCCCTATTGTCTTTCCAAGTCACGGCTTTGAACTGGCCTCTATTTCTAAACCGCCTCAATTTCTATAAAATTTCGAGAGACCTGTCAGATTCTGACACCTTCCGTGGGTGGTGGGGGAGGAGGAAGTCACGGACAGAAGAGTATCATTTTCCTGTACCCAAACAAGCTTCATAAAATGGACTTCCTCTCCCTGTGTATATACAGGGGGGGGGCAAAAAAAAAGACATTTCGACCGAGTCACATATCAGCAAAGTTTTCGCAGCCCAGACAGAGACGTGGATACGAGTACCAGGGCGGAAGATACCCAAGATGTTCCTCTATAAGCAGGAGCTGGCGCTCGCCCATCACCTTCATGTACACCAAAATATGAAGTCATCTCCAGCCGCAACCTGACTGGAGAAGACCTTCGGAATTCATGTCACCTCCAAACAGCTGCGAAACTTCTAGTATGGAGTCACCCATGGATAGCTACCTGGAGACCAGTACGATCTGGATGACCTCCAACATCGAGCAGCTCCGACAACGTCGCTACGGTCTAGGACATCATCTTCACCCCAGTCGCCAAGGCGCCAGTTGATGGTAGGGACCGGACGTACCTGGAGAGACCGATATTTTCTTCGCGGGCAACGGACTGAAGGTGAGCACTGGCGGTTACATCGAGCAACTCGAGAAGAATATCCTCCCCACATGTCGTCGCCCGTACCTTCTTGGAAACTTTGTACTGCTACAGCATTGAGTGCCACCACATGAAATCGAAGGGCGTTGGAGAAACACTCGCCTACTTGGAATGGAGGGGCGTTGAGTACCTGAGGAAGGTGGAATATTCAAGCAGGTCATCTGACCCAAACCCCCTCAATTACCTGGTTCGGGCGGAGTTCAATAGGGTGGTCTACGGTGGCGGAGAAATCGACTATCTCGCTGATCTCAGGCACCCACTCACGGTCGCGTGGCAGAATCTCTCGATGGCGCTCCTCCAGAAGGCTGTGGCGGAGTATCATAATAGTATTTGATATGCTCTTTAATATGGTGGTGAAAATATCCGATAAGAATTCAATAAAGTGTAACTTACAACGCCTCGAATGTCAAGGAAGAAAAAAGTCTTTTTCCCCCCTGTAGAAGGGGCGAGGTGGGTCAATGGGTCTTTCTAGAAACAGAACTATGTATGGGATACCTTGTCTTTTAAGGAACACTAAGCGAGTCAAGGTAAGTTTTCCTCGTTCCATTCATGCCTATCAATACTCTACTCCAAAATTATCTCACCTTGTGCCTTCGAACTTCCCAGCCATAGGTCCTGTTTGACTAAACCACCGACTTGAGAAGTCTCTTCCACTTTCTGCTGCAGCCGCAATATCGCCCCAAAGCTTTTGCTTGTCTGCTTCTGTAAACATCACATCAACACTACTTCCATGACTATTATTCAAGGATTGATACCTTCGTACAGATAAGCTGCACTTTCAAGATCAGCACGATAACTTTCTGGCCGTGGTGCATCGACTACAACATGGTAGCGGTAAAAGGTTACCCGGCACCCATCCCATAACAACGATTCTATTGGTTCGCGGAAAAACGCGGTCTGAAAAAAAGAAGAATGGTCTTCAATCAGGTCCTTTGTTAACTGATGTAGGGTAATTATTATAATGTTTGCAAAGTGCATAGATAGGATATGTGGGCTCAGGTTGAAATTTAATTAGGTAGGGATGGAGTCGGACTCACAACTTCACCCGTTAAAGACACATGCGATGACTGATGGGCGGATACTTGTAGGTATTATACCTTTTATTGGCGCTTCCACTTTGCCGTATTATTAGGTGTCCGGAAAGTCTCAGCGTTTGGGTGTTTCATTTAACGGGCGTGGACTTTTTTAATACTCATCGGATTTAATCGAAATAGGCACCATTCGAATCAGCACAATTTTGTCAAGTGTGACGGCGTCGAGAAATCCCATCAAAGTAAAAACTGGGTGTCGAAATTCAGTCGAAAATCCAACAAGAAGGCTTTTTTGCCTGGTCCTGATTGATGAAGTATTTTCCAGCAAGGGAGTTCTGAAAATGTTAGAAAAGGTGATAGTCGGTTGGCGAAGGTCTGAAGAATATGGCGGTTGAGGAACTTCAACCCCCAATTCGTTCAATTTATGGATAGTGATTTGTGAAACGTGTGGGCGGGCGTTGTCATGCAAAGGAATCGGACCCTTTCTTTTGATAAGTGTTGGCTGCATCTGACAAAATTTTCGGTACAATTCGTCGATTTCTTCACAGTAGGGTTCTGCTGTGATGGTTTGGCCTGGTGATAAAAAGTTATAGTGGATCACACCAGCCGATGACCACCAAGCCGTGACCAGAATCTTTTTTTCGTGAGGGTTCGGCTTTGAAAATTACCTCGGTGGTTCGTCGAAATCCAACCACTGTCCGGAACGTCTCCTGTTATCATACATGACCCATTTTTTGCATCAAAGGTGACAATTCGGCCCCAAAAACAGGTCGTTTCTGCTGGCGGGCAAGAAGCAATGCAGCAAGGAACCATTCGAGACGCTGCCGAATTCCATGCCGTCACTCCGTTGTGGGGCCGCCCAATTGTCGAGTTTTCCCACCTCCCAATGCGTTCCAGACCATCTGCAACAGTGGATTTGCCAAAGCCTAGCTCTTCTGCTATCTCTCGAACTGTTTGGGATGGGTCAGCCTCCAAAATCCCCCTAAAATCCCTCGTCAGATATTGCTTTAGGTCGACCGCTATGAGGTTCATCTTCAAGGCTGAAATCTCCAGAACGAAATTTGTTGAGCCATTGCCGCACACACAGTGCTTCTCTAGGCACTAGTGGGCCCCCACACCTGGTTAATTTGTTGAGCTGTTTCGATTGCGGATTGCCCCAATTTATAGTCGAAGAAAAAATCGAAGTGCTCTTTTCACATGCTTGAAAAAATCTTGAAAAAAGGGGGTTTATCAAGCAATGGTGAAACGGCAATTATACCATCAGATAGCGCGCGCAGGAAACTCCTCTACAGGATGTGCTACTGAGAAGCAAGGCAGAATGAGTTTTTAATCAGCAGTGAATCACAAAAATAGGTGCACAAAACGCTGAGAACTTTCCGGACAACCTAATAGAAAAGATGCGATAAAACTCGGGTACCGTAGAGTGGGAGGGGTTCGGAGGTTAGGGTGGAAAAGGCAGCAAAAGGAAACCCGGGGAACTCCAGCTCCGATGAAAATGATTACAGGGCTTTGGCTCAAGGTTAAAAGATTCTTCGGAGGAGGGAAAAACTCACCCATGCGCGTATGCCGCGCGGTTTCTTCACGGCGCCGCGGTGGCAGGGCGGAGCGAAAGGCGATGGCCCGCGTCTCCGGCGCTGTGCTCCAATCCAGCAGCCTCTTTTATGTGGAAGGAAGAGGAGGGAAAAGTAGAGAGAGGAAGGGAATTGAACAGATAGTGGGTAGATATGTGAGTTAGTGGTAGTGGTAGGAGATCACAGAAAAGTCGACTATCACGAATTACTTCAGTAAATGGCAGAAACTGGCGGAATAGTTCCCTTCGATTGTGGAAACGATGCAAGCAGCTTTTACACGAAAGTTCAAGCTGAGGTTTGGCAAATTGCCAAGGGTTGGTTGTGACCTTATCCTTCTACTCTATCAAGCACTACCTCTATATGTGATCGGTTGTCGTATATGTAAGTATGTTCGGTGTAAATGTCTGTCCTCCGCAAAATGCCTCAGGGGCTCGAGTTAGCGGGAGGAGAAAACGACCGCTAGACAAACCGGTAACCGATTGGTGCGGATGTATCAATCCAATGTTTTGATTGTGATAACAGCCTCCGCTATATAAGACAACCATTCGGTACACTCCGAGCCATTGCACGAGCTGTGCTGGCGTGGCAGCTGGACGTGTGCGGGGGCAGGTTGGGGTGGAGCGAGGGGGGCCCGAGTGATCCCTCCCTTCTGCTTCATTCCCCTGCACGTGCTCAGCCGGACCTGAGCATGTGCAAGTGAAGGAAGCAGAGGGGTGGGGGAACGGTGAGAGGGTGCGGAGCGCACGCTCGAGTAGGAGCGCGCAGCAAGAGAGGAGGCTAGCAAAACTGCGAGCTTATCAAAATAAAGTAACAAACTATGATGTTGTTTTGATTGTGTTACCCTCACTAAGTAAGACAACCATTTAGTACTCTCCGAGCCATTGCTCAAGCTGCTCGCGTGGCAGCTAGACGTGAGCTTGCGCGTGGGTTGCTTCATCTATTACGATTCGATCAAAACAGCGCATTATGAGTAGCTAGGTGAAAGAACAAATATTGTTCCCATTAATGTTTATTATTTCATTAAAAGTGCGCCTGGCGAAGCTAAGCCAGCTAAAGATAAGGAGGAGAGCTCGGCGTCAGCCGGACTGGTAAACGCTATAAAGGGCACGTCCCACTCGAAAGGAATCATTCTGCCAGTTCCGCTGTTGACTGAAATAATACGCTCTGATTCTCGACTTTTCTGTATTCTCTGCTCACGTTACCACTAAAGCTCCATCGTGACTTCACATGTTAAACCGCGCTTCTTTTTCTCAAATCTCCATCTCCTTTCCAGCATAATGGGGCATAAAAGAGGCTTCTGATTGAAGCAGTGGCGGAGGCGCAAGCGATCAAGACCGCGCCGCATACGCGCACGGGTGAGTTTGTACACGGAGCCGTGATTCTTCTACACTAACATACCCTCTGTGCATTCTGTAAGAGAGTGTGTCGCTCACCATTGGGAGAGCCCTCCTACCTTTATACGGCATCCTTCTCACTTCGGGTCTCCTTCTGGTTGCCGACGGTTTGCGTGAAGCTAGCGAGAGAGGGAGAGAGAGAGAGAGAGGAGAAGGTTCAGAGGGCGAGCGCATGATCATGCTCACGATCACATTTAAGGTTCGCGCTGAACGCCAACGAGAGATCTGGCCGAGATGCCAACCACTACGACTGCTGCCTGCTCCGACGTCACCTCTGGGCTCGCCGATTCCTTGCCGCGCTGTCAACTCAACTCCTGTCATCATTGGTCTGTCATCTACTTCGGCCGCGACGAATCCCGATCCACCTGATCGCCTTATTGAGCTAATAAATATGATACACTGATGGGCTGTACTGAAGGCAATACTTCGGGGTTCGCGAGCGGCAAGCTCGCACCTATCACTATTCCATGGTGAACGCGTTCACTTGTGAAGCTACTGCCTTACCTCTTTCTGTAAAGTTGGCATAACCTTCTCCAGAAAGGCGACGTCATTCGTGGCCATGAAGTAAGCGTGGACACACCAAGTGAGTAGAGGAGGTTGAGAACGATTCAGGTAATATATCCGGTTACCATTAGGTACGAAACCATATCTGGAACACTTTCTAGCGTCTACACAATCGTTTTCAGACGTTTCGAGATGAAACACTACGAGTCTGGGTATCTTTGGAACTAGATGAGACCCCACTCAGTCTTTATATAATTGTGAGAGATATCTTTTCAAGACTCGTTGACTAGTATCAGTCACCCAGTGAGTCATGAAAGGATAACTCAATTACATAGGACTAGATACCTTGAAAAAGCCTCGTCTAGTTTCAAAAGATACTCCTAGACTCTAGTCTTCAACCGCGTTTCATCACTGCACACAGCACGTGCACGCTTCCACGATGTACTGACAAGGAAAGGATGGTTGGTCGAAGTGGCCATTTCAGACAAGGTGCATACACACTGATGCGTCTTCGGACGCTGATTTCAAATCTGCTTTCCATATCTGCTAAACGATTCTCTGAGAAGAGATATGCAGGAGGTTGTTGTACGGAGCACAATTGAGCTGGTAACACAAATGAGACGTGAGTCGTCACACGAAGTGCATCGGTGGCCTAGTGGGTAGTGTGCCGCGCGCAAGTATGCGAGGTGAGAAGTTCGAATCCCCGTCCGATCTGGCAAGTTAAGCAACGTTGGGCCTGGTTAGTACTTGGATCGGAGACGGCTTGGGAATCCCAGGTGTCGTAAGCTTTTGCTGTTCACACCGAGAATTCATCACACAGAAGCAAGGAACACTCAAAAAAAGTTCACGACCGCATACTTCACATTTTCCATCTCTATGCGACTCATAGTGCTTACTGAACAGGATGTGACCTATTCGATGACTTATATGGCTGTACCTTGTACAATACCGGCTCCAGTATTAGCTAGTCGACCCCCCCCCTCATCAGATCATCTAAGTTCCAGCCACGGGCCTAGGAACACGCATACCCTACCCATGATCTAACTACACGTCCACCCACTACACTGTGGATACTTCTGCACTGATGTGGAAATTTCCGCACTGGTGCGGAAATAAGAACAAAAAAAAAACATATCCACATTTGCCTTACCCTCAGCATCGCTTACGGCCATACCACGTTGAAAGCACGCCATCCCGTCCGATCTGGCAAGTTAAGCAACGTTGGGCCTGGTTAGTACTTGGATCGGAGACGGCTTGGAATCAATAAATGAATCCCCAGGTGTCGCTAAGCTTTTGGCTGTTCACATGGCCGAGAAAATTCATCAACACAAGAAGCAAGGAACACTCAAAAAAGTTCACGACCGCATACTTCACATTTTCCATCTCTATGCGACTCATAGTGCTTACTGAACAGGATGTGACCTATTCGATGACTTATATGGCTGTACCTTGTACAATACCGGCTCCAGTATTAGCGACTCCCCCCCCCCCCTCATCAGATCATCTAAGTTCCAGCCACGGGCCTAGGAACACGCATACCCTACCCATGATCTAACTACACGTCCACCCACTACACTGTGGATACTTCTGCACTGATGTGGAAATTTCCGCACTGGTGCGGAAATATCCACATTTGCCTTACCCTCAGCATCGCTTACGGCCATACCACGTTGAAAGCACGCCATCCCGTCCGATCTGGCAAGTTAAGCAACGTTGGGCCTGGTTAGTACTTGGATCGGAGACGGCTTGGGAATCCCAGGTGTCGTAAGCTTTTGCTGTTCACACCTAGAATTCATAACACAGAAGCAAGGAACACACAAAAAAAGTTCACGACCGCATACTTCACATTTTCCATCTCTATTGCGACTCATAGTGCTTACTGAACAGGATGTGACCTATTCGATGACTTACATGGCTGTACCTTGTACAATACCGGCTCCAGTATTAGCTAGTCGACCCCCCCCCCTCATCAGATCATCTAAGTTCCAGCCACGGGCCTAGGAACACGCATACCCTACCCATGATCTAACACACGTCCACCCACTACACTGTGGATACTTCTGCACTGATGTGGAATTTCGCCTGGTGTGGAAAGTATCCCACATTTTGCCTTACCCTCAGCATCGCTTACGGCCATACCACGTTGAAAGCACGCCATCCTCCATGAATCGTCATTTTGCATTTTCTCAAAAATGCCTCCTGCACATCCGGAAAGCACTTCTGCGAGGCTAGGAGACCTGATTCTACCAAAAAATTTTATTTCTGATGTGATAGAGCCATTCTGGAACACTCCTAGTGGGACTCCTGATTGTTGGTTTCGGCGGCATTATTCGTTCCGTCGTGTTGTGAGGCCAAACTGATTCCAGATGGCATGGAAGCCAAAAGTGGATGTCGTGGTTGTTATCAGGACCGTCAGTAACCAACAAGGACTAAGATTTAGCGAGGAACCTCCACTGCTCACAGAGATTTGAATCGGCGATAGTGCCAGCAACCTTTAGGAATTGGCTGCCTATGGTTACCCCACTGTATCGAAAATAGGTCGAAATCTCAAATTTGGTTGAAAACTTGTCTCTAGGGCTAATTTGAGCCCCAGAGCACGAATATCACACTCGTTCGGCGTAAAAACGCTTGCCAAGGAGTTGCAGGTTCCTGCACACAGCCGGGAATACTGGGTAGGGGTGTAGGTGAGACCGGGGGGCACCTGCCCCTCCAGAATGCGTACAAGACGTTTTCACGAAATATAACTGCAGTGTTGATTTCCAGGGCACTGAAGCACCTCTAGTTTCAGATTCCAGCCAATTTGGGCAATTTGGAGCACCTCATATACATGCTGGAAATGGGTGTGACCTGGTCAAAAATCCTGCATAACTTTGTCCAGGAAGTCGTTTAGCAGATATGGAGGGCAGATTTGTAATCAGCGTCCAAGGGCCCATCGGGCACGTCTCATTTCGAATGGCCACTTCGACCACCATCCTTTCCTGTGAGTCAGATGGTCACTAGGATTAAGAAAGTTATTGAGAGATTTAGATGAAATACATGTCACTTTAGAGGCATGCACCCCCGGTTTTCATTTGATGTTCAGTTGCACTATCTCTTTGGAACATGGAAGCCCTGTTCATTAATTGTTCATTAGAATTAAATGGGACAACTTTTCGCAAAATATGCGAGAGGGAAAGCAGCCGCCCGCCTTTTTTCTCGACGAAAGAACCATAGCCGCTCCACCAAGTTACCACAACTACGCCCAACTTCCACTTTTACTTAATACCTGATAGTTTAGCTATTCCGCTACTACCTCTTTCCATTTATAATGGTTTTGGAGATATGGAGAAAGAAGTGAAACCAACATGTGAGAATTGGTCCGACCACCCCCATTCTTCGCCTTACGCACGAACAAACGCGGTTCTATATGACGCAACTCGAGCTGGTTTCAAAAGCTTTTTTCTTTCTGTGCAACTTGCTATCTTGTCATGAGTATTTGAGCAGCATCAGTCATATTTTTGAAGGCGAGCGTGCCTTCGAACTCCGTTTCTTGTGAAGGGGACAATACTCAATATTCAGATGTGTGGAGACTCATGGCCGTTGTGCCTTCATTCCTTGCCTCTTAGCTTGCCCCTTCCCTTCAGGAGGGGTACTTCAATGAAGAAACTGCAGCTGTTAGCAGCCTCCGCCTATGCGCTTATCTCAGAATACGCTTATCTTGAAATGTGTTCTGAATTTCCAGGTAACGTATAGTAGCGATCTAGGTTTCGGAGCAGGGCATGGCTGGGTTATGTAAAGGACGTGAACTTACTTTTCTATCAAATGTTGCATGTTTTCTATCATTCCACGAACTGTTGTATACATCTTGGAAGCGATAAGTCCTATTATGATGAAAAAGCTGTCCCAATAGTAGATCTCTCGAAATCTGCAATACAGCCCTATTTATAGTTGCACTGAAAGAGCACAAGCACTATGTACTGAAGCATTGGCTCAATCGTTCACTTCCTTTTGCTTGGATTACTCGCTCTTCATGGTCACCTTGCCCGTTTGGGAGTAATCTCACGAATTCACAGAAACCTCACAAGCGATTCCTACAGGCTCCAGCCCCTAACCATAGGACTTTGACCAGCAGACCACATTAACATTAGAAAATTGTTGTGGAAAGAGCGAGGGAGGAAGGTGTTTTCAGACAAGTATTATCCACATCTCGACAACAATGTTCTAATGTTAATCATGATGACCTGTTCTGTTGATGACACATTTGTTGGTGCCTTCGCCAGCGATCAGACTTCGCGATGGCACGCGTCGACGCGCTATCGTCGCAGTCACCCATCTTATCCCAAACTCCGAGTTAGCCACCAGTCTTTGTTTCTTGTCTTCCTAGTTTTTTTTTGTAACAAACATTGAATAGGAATATTCTTTCACGGTTTTCACCAAACTTTGTTTATTTTTTTATTATTTTACTCATGGACCTCTATAGTAATTCATTGGAATCTATTGTCATTAAGGAGTTATCTAAATTGAAACTCGTTCTGAAGTTGTTGCAACAGTAAATTCAATCAAGTAAATAAACGCCATAGAGAACTCATCCCTAGACAGGTATCGAAGGTGTCGATCGGCGCCGTCCGCTGGTCTTGGGAGAGTATAGGGGAATAGAAGGGTACCAGACCGTGTGATTAGGCAACGCGTACCCTCTTACTCTCTCATACTCGCTCGAAACAGCAGCAGCCAGCCCCAATAGACACCCATCTATGGCTGCGTTCCTGTCCATAGCCCTGAAACACTGTTGCAAGTGTAGCGCGTCGACGTGTGTCATCGCGAAGTCTGAACTCTGCTTTCCAGAGAGGGACATCATCGGTAAAGGAGCGTGCGTAGGGTGAAACAAAGCGCCGCTGTCAGTATGACCTCTCGAAAAAAGGAGCTGTGCGCTGTTCTTTTTCTCTACCTACCAAACCTTGAGGTCACGCTGGGTGAAGTATATCTAGCGCATCCGAAACGCAAAAAAATCAAGAAGATGGTGACAATTTTTCACTGGGTCGAATACGGCCTCCTGACGGGTTTCGCAAAGAACTATGTGCGATTCTGACTACGCATAATACATTTGCTGTAAATACCTCTCAAAATGCCCTATGACCTGCATTCTTTGGTGAGCCGCGATCAACTTATACACTAACTTATGCGTTTTTGTAACACTCAAAACGAACAAACCTTCCACCAGGAATAACAAACGGATTCGGAACTGGGATAATCGAATACCTCTCTGGTCTATGCTGTACGTTATCAGATATCTAAACAGATATTAAATTAGAAGGGACAGTTCAAGAGCTGTTTAGAAAACATAAACCCATAACAAGACCAGACACGTTACCATTTTCACGATTATATTACGCCTCTCGAAAGCATAATTCCAAAAGCACATTCCACGATAGCTGGAGGGGCGGGGACAGAGAGTCACGCCTCTCTCATCAATGCGCCACATGGAAAAAAATAGAGGGGAAGCGTCATCGTAATAGTACGCCCACAAGATCAGCGCAAAATGTGGTTTCACGAGTATCAAGCAAGAGAAAAAAAACTTGCAAGCACCTTTCTATGTAATAACGGCCATTTACGATGAAGAGCTGATGCGAACGCACGATAGTTTATGTCCTTGATACAGTGAAAAGCGTCATTCTGAAAAAGTACTTTATTAATACAAAACTTCATGGTGCACCGCTCAACTGCCACAAGTACAAATCGAGAACAGCACAATGCCAGTGTGAGTCACGCCATGCATGGCAGCGAAAAATTTTTAAGCTGCTTCTCCCACGTCTCCCACACCAGCCTCGAGCAAGACTCTTGCTGCCAGCTCCTCAAAAGTAGAACAAACGGAATACTACATCACAAAGGGTACGATTGATACCGTCGCAATCAGTCGGGGTGGTCAAAAGGATGATTAGCTCACTCCCGATCTTTCCACTGGTTCTTTTCCTTCTCAATCGACCACTCTCTGTCACTAGTGGTAGATAAAGGAAGCCGAAGGCGGTTTCGTTCCGTTTCTTCTGGTACCGCTCCGATTGACTGCGACGATATCGCCCCGAATCGAGAATTTTGCAACACATTTTAACCTTACATGCGAGTTCTGTAAAGTGAACGTACCGTAGGGTCCCAGTCGTCTGGTTCACACTCTACGAGCTCGTTTTCTGGTTCATTAAAATAGTCTTTAATGAATTCACGTAGACGTTCAGTTGTCACTGGTCCTTCAGCTCTCAGCGCCTCCCAACGCACAAGAGTAGTCTCTGAAGTTGCCAATATCTTTTTTAGGGAGAATTCTGATACTTCGCAGCTCAGCTGCAGAAGCGCATAACATAGCGCATAACATTTCTGACACGTCCTGATATTACAATAATGATTTTCTGCAATTAGTCCGTCATTCACCCGCATGCTAGGGCTCTTAAGAAACCCCTGTTGTAGAGATGCACATGAGTGGCAGAGTACTCCCCAAGGTTGTGTTCAGACTTCGCGACAAGGCACGTCGACGCGCTGCTACCACTGCAATCACGCTTCAGTGCTGTGAACGAAAATACAGCCATAGACGGGTATCGACCGGTGCCAGCACCCGGTTTTCGGAGAGTATGGGAGGATAGGAGTGTACCAGGTGATTAAGCTCTGTAGAATAGCTATGCTCTAGTTCGCTGCGGACGGTTGGGCGTGTCAGGCAGTATGAGTGTGTCACTCCGTCAAAGCCGTTCTCTGCCTTGTTGAAGCGCGCATGCGACAAAAAGTGGTGGAAAACGAGTAATACGAACGATATGATACAGTATTATCATTGTTTACCTCAACAACTGGGGAGAACGAGTTTGGCACCGCGCCAAACTCATCCCGCCTGACACGCCAACCGTCCGCAGCGAGCTACCCTATACGTTGCTGTCTATCGACCGCATTGCAGACCTTTTATGGCACATTTTATGGTACCAGTCTGGCTGACGCGCACTACTGCGCGCATGGTTAAACCCATGGTACTACGATAACTGACAGGATTTGTCCTGAGCACTAACACTTAGCCTAATTCCTCATGTTTCGAGGACGACCCATTTCATCATGTTTCTCCATTTTAATGAACATTTGCCAGTGTTTGGTGCCTATCATATTTCTAAAA